CTAAGTAAGGGGCCCAGGAAGCTGTCCAGAGAAGGGCTAATGAGCTGCTCTGAGCTGCCGGGCTCCTTTTTCTGAACACTGCTTTCCGCACAAGCTCAGACAAGTCTCCTTTTCCCTTGGATCAGCCAAGCCAGACTTGGAGCTTTGACAAGGAACTTTCCTGGGAAACGACCAAGGAACAAATATAAACAAGGCGCAGAAAAGCAGCCACAGGTTTCCTACCCCATGACCAGAGATTGGCCCGGCCTCACCGCCTTCAGAGACACAGATGTCTGCTCCCCCTCTTGAACTTGGGTGGGGAACCCCACCCAAAAGCCCCCTTTGTTAGTTCTTTGGCAATTCCCCTTTCCCGACTCCCCACTGGGGGCTAGAGTAAGAGGCGTGTAGTAAAGGTTTGACCATTCGCCTTCATTTCCAAGACTCTTGTCTCATTCGATACACCGTACCCCAGGGCCTCTGCACCAGGCCCTTCATACTTGTTTGTCTTAATTATTTTCTCAGCCTTGACGCTTCCTCTACCATCTCCAAGAGAATTTCTATGCATCCCTTAGGCCCCTGTGCAAAGACACCATTTTTTTTTTGTGACCTCTTACCCTATCCTGTCTCTGCCAGGGTTATCCCCACTCCCTTTGCTCCATAGTGCACTATATTATGTGTGTCTGCCTCCTTGAATAGATCGTGAACTCCTTGTGGCCAGGGCCGAGTTTTGCTCATTTTTGTATCCTTGAGGTCGAGCCCAGTATTCCACTTGGAGCAGGCAGACAGGTACCCAATAAATCCTTGTTACATAAAACAATGTTTGCAGAGCCGGATGGGGCCCCATGAAATGGGCAAGGAGCTAATGCAAGCCCCAGAGGCACTGTCTAGTTTTTGGGAGGCCCTAGAGTAGAGGGGAGGGCACAGACAGTCATGCCAAACTTGTCATTGCTCCACGTCATTAAGAAGGCTCTCCTTCAGACTCCACCCATCTGTGATGTAACCTCTGCCACCCTCCTCCCTATCACACCCTAGTGGTACCAGACTCCACCCAGCTGTGATGTAACCTCTGCCACCCTCCTTCCCATCACTGCCCTGGTGGTGGAGGAGGATGAGACCAGGACCAGTTCTTCCAGAATATCAGAGCCTTGGGTAGTCTTCTTTATTCATAGCAAGAGGGGCAGAGGGAAGCCTCCTGGCTTCAGTAAAGAGAAACTGGGGAACGTCTGAGTGGAACCCCACTTTTCTCATCTGCAGTTCCTCTGCCCATCCAATCATCAGAGCTGAGAACCAAAAGCGACCCTGTCTTGTTGCGTTGTGGAATAAGATTTGGAATTGGTTCCTATTTTTCCATTCATTACGATTTCTATCCGTAGGAGCCAGAGGGGAAGGGGGGTCTTTTTTCCCCACTTTCAGGGAACCCACTCTGTGGACCAGGCTGGCCTTGAACTCACAGAGATCCATTTGCCTCTGAGTGCTGGGATCAGAGGCATGAGGGAGGAGGGGATCTTGTAGAAAGAGGAGAAGGAACGGGGACTTTGGTCATGCGTGCCATGTGAAGACTTTGACTTCCCTTTCCTAGACTCCTGTAAATGACAGGAAATGATACTGTTTCAACATTGTCCCTGCCGGAGCCTCAGGTGTGGCTGCTCTGGCCTTCTCTCCCTCTCTGTTTGGCCCCAGCTTTGCCCTGCCCATCCCTGGTTGGCTCTATTCTGGAGGCTGTAGTCCTTGTAGTCCCCCCTCCCAGCTCCCCACCCTCTCCCAGCTCCAGGTTCCTCCTATCCACGTGCATTGCCGCTCCATGTCCGGTCGTTATCTGGGGTCAGAGCATTAACGGAAAGTGGGGTTCCGTTCTCTGCCTTGTCCTTGCCAGCCTTGGCAGGTGAAAGGTGAAATGACTTACCCTGGACTGTCACTCTCACAGAGCCGCCTGGAACCAGGCTGCTCCCCACTGATTCACCTGAACTCTCTATAAGGCTGGGTATTGAATGGCAGGACTGCGTCCAGGGCCCACGTCACAGGGACTTGGAGCCCAGTGCCCTTTGGAATCAGTGTACACATGCTTGTGTGGGCGGTGGGGGTGGGGGAGGGGGAGGGAGGCTGTTTTCTGAGGCTCTTTCCTTCAGCCTTTGGTCTGCCTTCCCTACCCAACCAGCTCTAGTCCCCTGTTTTGACCACTATCACATTTTCTTTTCTTCCTTCAAAAGTAGTGTGGGTTTCTTTGTTTGTTTTAAGTCGTGTATATGAGTGTGAGTTTCTTGTTTGTTTATTTTAAATCATGTATATGAGTGTTGTGCCAGAGTGCATGAACGTGTGCACCACATGTATGCTTGGTGCCCACAGAAGGCAGAAGAGGACTCCAGATCTCTTAGAAGAACTGGAGTTATGGGTGCTTGTGAGCCATTTTTATGGGTTCTGGGAGCTAAACCTGGGTCCTCTCCAAGAGCAACAATTTCTCTTAAGCATTGAGTTATCTCCCCAGCTCCTTTTCTTTTCTTTTCTTTTTTTTTTTTAAGATTAGTGATAGTACACACCTATAAATCCCAGCACTCGGGAGGCAGAGGCAGGCAGATCTCAGTGAGTTCGAGTCCAGCCTCGTCTACAGAGCAAGTTCCAGAACAGCTAGAGCTGTTACACAGAGAAACCCTGCCTCAGAAAAACAAAACAAAATAAAACCAACCAACCAAACAAAAAAGATTCGCTGTCTTTATTTTATGTGTATAGCTGTCTTGCCTGCATGTATGTCTGTGCACCCGCATGCATACCTGAGACCAGGAGAGGCTGTCTGATCCCATGACACTGGGGTCACTGACAGCTATAAGCTGCTGTGTAGGTGCTGGGACCCCAGCCCTGATCCTCTGCATGAGCAACAAGTGCTGGACTGTCGGCGTGTGACACCAACCTGGCTTTGGGGTCATCTTCTTACCATTCTATCTCCTCTGAAAACTGGCTGACTTTTCACACCCTCGGGTTCGGGTTCATTGGTTCTTCCCTTCTGGAACAGAGCTGTAAGGAGCACTTTAGTACTGCATTGGCTCAAAGCTGCACCCGTACCCAGGAAAGTCAGCATTCATCCTAAGCCATGAAGGAAGAAATTCCCCTTTTGTGCCGGGCTCTGAGTAATAATGGCGTTGGCAGTTTGCACAGACAATTAAAAGTTCCTTGTAATGTTAAACATGGGACCTTAATGTTGTTATTATTAATACAAATTATTGATATTGTATGATACTTAACATGTGGCAAACACTTGCTAATACTCCATATGAATCTAACCATATAGGTTTCTGTGGGTTTCTTGTCTGTTTTAATATGTGTGTGTGTGTGTGTGTGTGTGTGCACATGGACGCTGGGGATGGATTTAAGGCCTTGTTCTCTGCCACTAAATTGTACCTTGAGGCACCCTTTCCCATTTATTTCTCCTGGCTTATTCACATTGAAAACTGCATGACGGAAGGAAATGGGGCCTCCAGCAGTGGGGATACCTCCAGCTGCTCTGGTGGGGGGGTTGTCTTGGGGATTGCAGAGGAGAGGAGGGGAGGGGAGAGGAAGGGAGAGGAAACATCAGGGTGGGCATGCTGGAGGCTGGAAGTCAGCAGTGGCTCACAGGGAGAAGGACCAGGAACTCTGGTTTCAAGTCCCCTAGCCCTAGGCCCCCATTCCTGGATTCTCATTGCTGGTCTGAGAGTCTCAGCTGCTGAAGGCAGAAGTGGCACACATAAAGACGGTCACGAGATCTCAAGGGCACAGGAGTGAGTAGTGTTCCAGTGTAGGGGTCACCTGGGAGAAGACCTGCACACATGGGGCTGGCAGAAGGTACCCACCCCTAGGAAGGGCTGGCAGGCAGAAGGTGAGGTTTCACTGAAAGGGGCGGAGAGGACAATGCGGCCTTGTAATGGGAACCTGAATCTGGGTTCTTCTCGGTGCTCTGCCTCCCAGCGTGCAGTGTCATAAGGCTTTTTCCTTACCCCTAAAGCTCCAGGATGTGATACGCTGTCTCTGGGGTCAGTCCCAATGAATGCATCAGACTATCGAGAGCTGGGTGTGGCGGTGCACACCTGTAATCTCCCCGTGTAGGAGGTGGGAGGATCAGAAGCACAAGGCCAGCCTCAGCAATATAGGGAGTTTGAGGCCAGCCTGGGCTAAATGAAACCCGATTTTCATCAATACAAAATAGTGTGTTTGGGAAAAGGGCCCTGGGAACCCTTCAGAACTGGAGGCATCTTTTTTTCTTTTTGGCCTTGGAACTCACAGAGATCCACCTGCTTCTGCCTCCTGAGTGCTGGGATTAAAGCTGAGCGCCACCACCGCCTGACTATTGGGGAGCATCTTTACAGACATGGCCTACTGACTCTTCACAGCACCTTATGTGAGGGCAGGCATTTTCACTTAATAACTGGGGAGCCAACCAAGGCTTAGGAGGGGGGCTTCACACACACACACACACACACACACACACACACACACACACACACACACACACTGTTGGTGGCAGAGTCATTGTGGACAGCTAGGGAACCTGTCTGAAAGAGAACAGATGAAAGTCAGTGGGAGGGGGCTGAGTGGGTGAGTGGGTCAGGCCCCAGGCAGAGTAGAGAACTAGATTTGGTTTTCTTTCCATTTAGGCTGGATGGGTGAAGGACGAAGAAAGTGGGATCAGAGGGAACCCTGGAGTGAAGGGAGGGTCACTGAGGGACATAGAGTACTCACCAGACACTGCCCTCCCTCAGCTCCTGCCTGCCATCCCACTTTGTTCTGTCTGTTTGAGAACAGCCTTGGTGTGTCTGTATGTGTGTATGGGGGGGGGGGGGGAGGCTGGGTAGTCTAAGCTCACCCACCTGTAAAGCAGAGGTGTTTGAACTGGAATTCGGCGAGTTTGACTCTGAAACTCTAGGTGTTCCCAGTTCGTGTTAAGTGGGTTTGGGGTGTCAGGCTGTGGGACCCAGGCTACAAAGCGTTAAAAGAACCTTGGCCCTCTCCTCTCTCCTCCTGGTTCCCTCCTCCCTCGCCTCTCCCCAGGCTCTTCCGGTACCCGCTCTTGCAACACCACCCCCGCCACTCTCCCTTCCCCTCCTACCTCCTCGCTCCTCTCAGCTTTAATTTTCTCCGAGTTTTCCGAACTCTGGCTCCTGACCGGGCCTACTGGGTTCGAGGTCCTGGAGGACCGTGCCCAAATCTCTACCTACCTTCGACTTCCAGCTGCTCTAACCTGACTCCCCGGCTGCCATTGCCCGGGCCACCTGGTCCGATCGGCTCACTTCATTCACCGGCGTTGCCAGTTGCTGCACAGTCCCCAGCCCCAATGGGGGAGTGAGAGGCCACTGCCGGCCGGACATGGGTCTCCCCACCGTGCCTGGCCTGCTGCTGTCACTGGTGAGATGGAAGACAAGAGGGAAGGGTGGCCTGCTGGCAAGGCCTGGCGGGAGTGGGCATGTACTCGGGGTAGGGGTTGGGGCAGGGTCTTCTCTGCTTCGGTTCGCCTGTAGGCTTGCTGTGCCTCACCTGGGGCTCCCTGAGAGGTGGAAGGGAGACGTCTGAGAGAGAGAGAGAATTGTGGCAAGTCAAGCCCCCAAGCCCTGGGTGGGACAGCCAAGGGGGCTTGCTGGACTTGGCGTGTGTTTGGCTTTGGGGAGGCCAGCTGCCAGGCCAGTGGAATTAGGTGGAGCAGCCCTGTCTTTCTGGCAGACGTTGAACAGCATGGGTCAGGATGTTGGAAGACTGAGTCGAAGAAGGGGTTCAGTTGGTGACACAAGTTGGGGATACCGTGCTTGGGAGTGAACTAGGAGACTGGATGAAGCTGGGCAGCTGGGCCTAGACTTCTTCCCTGAGACAGCCTTGGTCGCTTGGCTCCCAGGTTGGCTTCCCAGGCAAGAGGTCTCCATTGGCCTAACCCTCCCTAGGTAGATAGCACCTCCTTTACTTTGGCAGTGTATCCTCCAGCCCCCACCCCCCCCCCCCCGACCTAAAAGGCGTCTCACGGTTTCCAATTCCACGGTTCAGATTGGGGAAGTTGGTAGCAGCTTGTTTTCGTCACTGGAAAAATATCCTTTTCTCTGGCTTCGGCCTTGTTTTCGTGTTTCCTTGTTTTCTCTCTATGTGCTTGTGCTTATAATCTCATTCTGTGGCGATCCTCAGAGCTGGGGCTCCATGGCTGTCTGGTGGACAGTGTCACTGAGTGCTGCCTCCTTCTCCATGCCTCTCCTCTCCTCATTCCTCCTTTCCTGTCAGAGCCCAGCGCCTCCTTTTGTAGCTCCTTTCTGTTCATTCCCTTTCTTCTTGTTGTTCTGTCTAAACCAGTGTTTCCAGAATCCTGGACTCCCCCAGTCTGTGTGGTCTCATGTCTTTTCATTCCCCCTCTTTGGTCTTCCTCAATCTCAGCTCATGACCCTCCCCCCCCCCCCCCACCAAGAGTGCCCCTTCTGGGCATGCGCCTGTCATCCAGCTACCCATCCCCTTAGTTCTGTTCTCTGTAGGGCTGATCACCTGGAGGTGAGGCTCAGCACAGCAGCCTGACCTGCGTGAACGTGGGCATTCTCTATTTCCAGAACGGCTCTAGTGATCACTACCTCACAGGTGTAACATTAAGAGTGACTAGATGGATGCCTGTTAAATATTTATTCAATTTATTAACCCTTACTCTGGGTTAGGCCCTACTTTTGGTGCTAGTACGCCTCAAATAGAAAGGGATCATTGAATGCTTGGTGTCTATTTTCTCATCACTGCCAGTGTTCGTCATCACTGCCCAATGGCAGCCAGTGTTTGATAGAGCAAAAACAGCCTAGATAGGTAGAGGAGCCCTCCTGGTCCAGCTGTGGTGGCCCAGGTGGGGATGGGCCACTCTGAGCGGAAGTGGAGCCTGAAGACAAGGGACCCCAGAAGGCAGGTGAGGTCCACTGCCTTGGCAGTTCCTAGCTCAGCGCCTATGAGGTGGAAGAGTGACGAGGAGCCACTGGGGTCAGGAGGGAGCAGTGTACATGGCCGGAATGTGACAAGGCCAACAAGATTTTGTTACTCTCAAAGAGTTTAAATATAGGAGTCAAAATGACTCTAGAACAGTCCAGAGCAACAGACATGTCAAAGCCTTGTGATGTAGTGTCCTGGAGGCAGAACTGGGGGAGGGGGTGGGCCACAGGCCAAGTGTCTTTGCTTGCTTAAGGTCCCTTGCCTGTCTGCTGGGCTGAGCCTGCCTGCGTAGATTTTTTTTTTGTTTTGCTTTGTTTGTTTTGTTTTTCGGGACAGGGTTTCTCTGTGTGACAGCCTTAGCTGTCTTGGAACTAGCTAGCTCTTGTAGACCAGGCTGGTCTTGAATGCACAGAGATCTGGTTGCCTTTGCCCCCAAGTGCTGGGATTAAAGGCGTGCGCTGTCTCTGTCCGGTGCCTGCATAGATCTTTGGTTTACGGAGAGATCTTGAGAGTGGGAGCTATTTCCCACCCATTTTGACATTTCCAGCACCCATGAGGATCCTGGAACGGAGATCTTGACACTTGACTAATGCTGAATCAATTAGGGAAGAAGAGATTGGTCAAATGGGACCGGGGAGGGAATGCCGGATGGAGAAGAGGACTTGGAACTGGCATCCGAAGCTGGAAAGGAGGGAGGGTGGAGGAGTTGGGAGACTGGGTTGGGGGAATGGAGACCAGCTCTCCAATTTTATGTTGAAGGTGGTAGTTACAGGAGCTGAAAACCTCCGCTCGGGATGGAATGGCCAAGCTGAGGGATATGGCAGTGAGAACGGGCACTCTGGGGTGTGTGAGGAAGCAGCTGGAGCCAGTCATGATGGCGCGGGCCATCCTAGAATGGGAGATGGAGGTGGGAGATCAGTTCAAGGGCAGTTTCGGCTGCATAGAGAACGTGAGGCCAGCCTGGGCTACATGACACCCTGTTGTAAAACATAAAGTGTGCATAAGGACTCAGGTGGAGGCCTGCTTTCCTCCCTCCCTCCGTCCCTCTGTCCCTCCGTCCCTCCGTCCCTCCCTCCCCCCTTAGCTATTCTCCAAGGATCCACTGTGTCCAGACTACGTTCCGATCTCTGCCACATGTGCCCAGGGAAGGATCTATCTATGGAAACCATGTTTGAAGCCAGGCCCTGCAGGTGCAGAGGATTCACACCCCAGTAGTACAAGTTGGAGCCTGAATACAGATAAGAAACTATGTAGGTAGCTTCGGCCCCAGCAGAGGTCGGAGGTAGACACATCACTGAGGCAGAAGGTTGATGTAAGACCTGGGCAACAGAACGAGACCCTGAGACCCCGCTGTGGCGTAGAAAAGAGGAAGGCAGTTGCAATAATCAATAGTCCGAGTGTGGGGCACCCAGAGGACACGGAGGGGGTGGATAGATTATAGGAGAAGAGCCTGACAGGTGACTCTGAGGGCTGTGGCAGTTTACTGGCCAAGTGGAAGTATGCTTGGACTGAGTGAAGCAGTTCTCTGTCTGCCTTCTGGCCGATTCCAGCTGCACGGCTCGTCGGCTGGACTCGGAAAGAGAGGCACACATGGCAGAAGTGCCAATGGGACATGCGCAGGAGTGTATGAGTGTAGATATGGGTGCACCGTCTCCGAAGTGGCTCTCTCGGAGATGCGCGCGTGTCTCTGTGGCAGGAGGGTGCGGCTCCCCAACATCCTTGAAGGTATCACTGACTCCATCTGGGATGGAATGCACCTCAATCTGTCCCTCCAGTTTGCAGGCCCGGATCTGGGTGATGTGACCAAGATTCTCTGATCTCTTAGCTCACAGGGTTTGTGGTGTGTATGGTGAGATCATATCTACGCATTTGAAATAACTAGCTTCTGATAAGAGTCCGGAGTAGGTATGAGTAGGTCGTGTTATTCAACGTGAACAGGTGACTGGGTATCTAAAGAGCTTGGGTGGGGAGCATGAGTCATCATTGGGGGGCTTTGCGGGTGGGTGGGAGGTAGAATCGTGACAGAGTTCTCAGGGGAGGCCTTGCCGGTGAGTTCTTCACCCCGCAGGTCTTGACATTAAATGGAACAAACACATTTTAACGTAATGAACACATTAATGCGGGGGACGGACCAAGCGAGTGGGTGCCCCCAAAGGTGGTTGGGTCAAGGTTTGACCACAGGGTCCATCTTGGCTTCTGTGCCCTATTCGACAACCCCAGCACAGGAAGTCACACCTTCGGGCCTCCCAGGCGGAAGCTGAGGGGTAGTTAGTTAGAGAGCCTCTGTACCACTCTCTCAATTCCTTCTCTACAGGCACCCCCAGAGCTTCCTGTGCCCCCTCTCTGCTCCAGGCAAAGGCATTTGGGCTTGGGTCAGGACTTTGGCCTTGGCTCCCCGATTCCGTGGGAACTGAACGCACCCACTCACAATGCAACTGGTAGGAGGGCTAGTGGGTGCTCACACACATGGCGCCCATTCAGAGACACTGAGGGCCCTGGAACCCTTGGAGCAGGTGGGATATGGTACTGGTTCCATGCCCCTTCCGTCTCTCTTGTTCGTTTGGTTTTGTTCTTCGAGACAGGGTTTCTCTGTGTAGCCCTGGCTGTCTTATAGTGCTGTAGCTCTGTAGACCATGCTGGCCTCTGAGTGCTGGGATTAAGGCCCGACTCTCTCCATCTCTTCTAGCTTTAAGAGGGCTGCAGGCTTTTCCTCTGTAGCTACTAGGCTATGAAGCCTTACAGCTGGCCCTGATTCTTAAGGATTGTCTTGGGAGCCTCCAAACTCTATGCAACTGGCCAGAAGCAGGCCGGCTGTGGGAATGTGGTATGGGAGGGAGGGCCGCCTGTTTTTGTTTCTTGATGGCACTGGGGAGCATGGAGGGGGTAGCAGAAAAGCCCAGGGAGCCGGGAGCAGGGATCCTGGGGCAGGGTTTATCTACTGAAGACTTGTTTAACTTTGCCTAGGAATCAGGGCAGGTCACAATCTAAAGGAAGGATGTTGGGGGCGGGGCGGGGGGGCGTCCTCTGGGAGGAGCCTACTGACCTGATGGGGAAGCCAGGGGTCAGGAAGACTTCCCTTTGGGATGAAATGGAAGAGGGAGGCATTTCCCCGAAATCTGTGGGCCCAGTGGGACAGGCGTCCATTGCCTGGCTCTTTTTAAGGGGCAAAGGACAAAGGGCCCTGAGTGGGGATGGGGAAACGGGGGGTGGGGTGGGTGGGAAAGAGAGACTGCTTGCCCTGAAGGGAGGAGATGAGGTTCTACTTGCTGGCTGGCCTTTTCTTTCTGCTGACTCACAACCCTTGTAGAGCTGGGGAAGCTGCAGTTCCCTGTCCACACTGTCCTAGATCCCCCTCCCTCCCTGGCCTGAGTCACTGGGGTGGAGCTGCTGGGAAAAGATTTCCCTTTCCCGGATTTGTCTTAACCCCAAGAGTTCTGGAGAGGGAGGGACACGTGACAAGAGACACCGGGCTCCTTCTCTGGAGGCTCACCCGTCCTCGTGGTGGAGAAGCTCCCTCCAAGGCTGTTCTTGGCCTGGAGCCCACCTTTACCTCTTCCTGCTGCTGCCTTGGCCGGTTGGCTTTGCATCAAGTTCTCTGATGGGATTGGAAGTACCATTGACCTTAGGTGCTACAAACATTGCTTCTTCGGGGAAAGGAACCACACTTTTCATGATTGGGAAGTTCTTATCATAACTAACCCTTCCTGTTGTCACTCTGGAAGCCTCTGCACACCGTGTTGGGGGATGGCGGTGGGAGGGGGTGCACCCCTGCCTGAGAGATTGCAGGTGTTCAATGTGCTTCTGTGTGTGGCTTCTCGGGTCCATCTCTGGCTGAGGCCCAGGCTTCCTGACCCGTGCAGCTGCTGCTGCTGCCGCCGCTGCCGCTGCGGTAACACTTCTAGTAACAGCAGCTGGCAGGTTGCACCTCCTTCTAAAAGAGCTGCGGAGGCTGCAGGGCCTTGAAGGCAGCTTGTGCGTCTAGACAGCCACGGTGGCTAGCACTTCTCTCCTGAATGCGATCTGATTGGTCCGTTGCTCCTGCATCTGTAACATGCCTTGATGACGTCCTCTACCTTTGCTGCAGGAGCGGCTCATAGCAGGGGGTGGGGTAGGAATGAAAGGATGAAGATTGAGGGAAACCCAAAGCTGGGAGACATCAAAGAGCAAGCTCTAACTTGAAGCTAAGATGATTTATGGCTTGGCTTTCTCCACACTGAAGTTACTTACATAAAGGAAAACCACGTAGTTGCTATGAGCTTTGCCAAGGTTATTAAACCAGCCTTCTAGAATGCCCTGCTTGGCCATGGGCTTTGGGACTCCTGGCATATCCTCAGCTCTTGATTTGCTGGTCTTCTTGAGCCAGATGACCAGTCCCGGCTGATCCTAGTACAGGACCCGCTTGTCTTTGCTTATGCCCAGACCTTCTCGCCTGCCTTCCCTCTCCATTTGTTCTTGCTAACTTAAGCTGCAGTGTAAATTTAGCTGCGGAAGGCATGGACCGTGGACAGGCTGCTGAGCAAGACTTGAAACAAAGATATAGAACTCTTAACCCCGAGCATGTGGCTCAGGGCATGTGTGAGGTTCTTGGTTTCATTCCCAGCTACCCCACCCCCCATAAATACCCCCACTCATGTACCCCACCCTCCATCTCCCACAAACACACCCACTCATGCAAGCAAAAGATCATGCACAGAGCTCTTCCCACACCCAGGAATGCTGCTTGCAAGAACATCATCCGTCTCTGTCCCCATCTGATTTTGCATACATATGCACACAGGTGTGGGTTCATATCCCTGTGTGTCTGTGTGCATGGAGGTCAGAGTTCAACCTCAGGGGTTTTCCTCAGAGAGCATTCACCTTGTGTTCTGAGACAGGATCTCTCACTGGGACCAACCGGTTGCTGATTCAGCTAGGCAAGGCTGGCCAGAGAGCTTCTGGGATGTGCTTGTATCCTCCTGGTCCCTGGGATTACAAGCCCATGCTACTGTACCCGGCTCTATGTGGGTGATGGGGGTTGATCTCAACTCCTCATGCTTGCACAGCAGGCACTAGCCCGAACCGTCTCCATGGCAGCCCTCCCTACAACTTGATTTTCCCCCATAGTACTTTTTATTAGTGTAATGAAATCCAGGAGGCTCCCCTCTGAAGTGTCCACAAACGGGCACACTCTGAAACCCGCGCCCAGATATAGAAGTGCCAAATGAACTTTAGGACTGTCTGTTGGACGACAGACAAGCTACAAGTGAAACAGCCTGCTAGTTCTGGGTAAAGACACTCCCTGGTAGGCCAGGGGTTAGCTCTGAGGTTCTGTGTGAGACCCGGAGCTCCACCTCTAGCAAACAATACCAACATCTAGACATTCCTTGACCAGCTTTCTTGTAATCAGCATGGCGAGCTCCCTAGAGTAGAATGCAGTGTGATGGGGAGGGGGTGAGACCTAATTGCCCAGGGTTACGGAGACAAATGCTAGCAGACAGAGCACTCAGAGACCAAGCAAATACCCGACTGCCCAGTGGACGCGGTTTAAGGAAGAACGTTCCTCAGGATGGACAGGATTTATGGGGGGGGGGGAAGGTCATCAGTGTGCTGCCTCTATGGCCCCACCCTAACTGTGTTTCCTCCTTCTGATTTTTTTCCCCCAGGTGCTCCTGGCTCTGGTGGGGATATACCCCTCAGGGGTCACTGGATGGGTTCCTTCCCTTGGGGAGAGGGAGAAGAGGGATAGTTTGTGTCCCCAGGGAAAGTACCCCCCACTCTCGGAATAATTCCATCTGTTGTACCAAGTGCCACAAAGGTAGGAGAGACTGGGGAGCCGTCTTCTTGAGCCTTCCTTTTCTTGTTTGGGGTACTCCACAACCTCGGCGGCTGGGAGTTCCCTTCCTCTGCTGCCTTCCCTGGGCTTGGGTTTTGTTCTCCGGTTCTCCACGACAGCCGAATCCATGCCCCTCTCACAGGGACCCACTTGGTGAATGACTGTCCAGGCCCAGGGCAGGAAACAGTCTGCAAGGAGTGTGAAAAGGGCACCTTTACCGAATCCCAGAATTACCTCAAACAGTGCCTCAGCTGCAAGATATGTCGGAAAGGCAAGCCTCGGGAGAGGGAGTCGGGAAGGGCTCAAGAGAGGAGTCTGGGGTGAGAAGGCTCGTGAACACGTGTGTGTGCATGTGGACGTTGATGTTTGTCAGGGGTGAGGATTTGCATCTGCTTGTGGGGGCAGTGGGAACATGCGTGCACATGCCAGCCTGGGTCTGTGGGCACAGGAGTTTTTATGTGACAGAGACACATGCACACATGGTGGGGACGGGTGTGTGTGTGTGTGTCAGGATTTGTGTGGGGAAAGAGAGGCGAGACTCACGGACCATTTTCTTCCCTTTCCAGAATTGTCCCAGGTGGAGCTATCTCCTTGCAGAGCAGACAAGGACACTGAATGTGGCTGTAGAAAAAACCAGTTCCAGAACCAAATAAATGGTCCCAAACACTTCCAGTGCCAGAACTGCAGCCTCTGCTTCAATGGCACGGTGAAAATCCCCTGTAAGCACCACTCCCCCAAGTCCAGGCCCTCTCCCCTCCTCAGGAGTAGCCTGCCTTTCAGGCAGAAGGTTTCCATTTCTGTCCTCGCTCCCCATGAGGTAGCATCTTCTCTCCACCCCATCCTGTGGTCTGTGGCTCTGAGCTTCTGCATGGTGCCTGCATCTTGACCTTCTCCCTCCCCCTGGTCCACTTTCTTAGTCTTTTTGTCTTCTCCCAGGTAAGGAGAAACAGGACACTGTGTGTCACTGCCATGTAGGATTCTACCTGGATGAAAAAAATGAGTGTGTCCCCTGCAGTCGGTGAGTATTTGCCAACTGGTTGGGGAGCTGGGGTGGAAGAGCAGCTGTGTCTGGATTAGAGGAGGTGCCCTACAACCGGATGAGAGGAAGGCACTCCTTCAAGACATCAATCGTCCTTTCTCTTTCTCCAGGACGTTACGGGGTAGACAGCATAGCTTAGCAGCAAAGCGTTTGCAGCAAAAGTCTGACAACCTGAGTTCAATCTCTGGAACCCAAGTAAAGGTGAAAGGAGAGAATTCCACAGAGCCGTCCTCTAACCTCCACACGTTCCATAGCACGCAAGCCTCTCCAGTGCTGGGCAGTTAGATGTGAACGCCATGCTCTTTTGAGACAGGGTTTCTCTGTGTACCTTTAGAGCCTGTCCTGGAACTCACCCTGTAGCCCAGGCTGGTCTAAAAAACTCACAGGGATCCTTGTGCCTCTGCCCCTCAAGGGCTGAGATTAACGGCCTGCGCCACTAGTGCCAGCCCAGGCGTCTTACTATTGCTGATACCTCGGGTTGATGCACTCCCCTGTGGTGATTCCTTCCAGCCTCCTTGGCAGACTTCCTCATTCCTATGACTCCATTTGGGCTGCTCTGACACATTTGCTTCCAGAGAAGTAACTCTGAGACTTTCCTAGTTGAACTGACCTGGGGTTAAATTCTAACCTACCCATTTCCTGGCTGGGCAAACATGGGCAAGTTATTACGTCTCCACGCCTATGTTTCTTAACCTTTAGAGTAAGGAGGGGTGGGGGTGGAAGTGGGGTTCAATGATAGAGCACTAGCCTAGCATTTTTCGAGGCTCTGGGACATAAAAGCCCCAAACAGAAAATTTGACCAACAACCCACAAAACGGTCTGAACCAAAGCTATTTTCTTTCTATTTTCCCCACTCAGTTTCATTTCAGAAGAGCTTGTGTGCCCAGTGCCATGTGTTTTTCACCCTGAAATTGCGAGGCAGACAAAAGTCCATTCTCACTTGCCTCTGCCCCACTCCCCGGTGTAGTTTTCTCACTCCGCTCTGCCCTGGGACAGCCTCAACGGAGGACTCTCGGGCTGCCCCAGTGATAGACATTCTAAAACCGCTCACGCCTGGTGGCCTGTCATCTCCTAAGGCAAATGCTGTAAGTGGCTGGTGTCATCAGAGATAAGCCCTTCAGCTTCTCGCGTGAGTCATCTTTCTGTGGCTTAATCAGGTTAAAGCAAAGAAAGGTTTCTTTTCATAGCTTCATTCAGCTCACGGTGGTCAGTGGTCGGTGGTCAGTGGTTGGCATTGCTGCCTTTGAGCCCGTGAGGCACAGCATTGTGGGGCAAAGGTGCTCACCTTGTAGCAGCTGAGAGACACAAAGGGTGTGGAGTGGGGTCAAAGGTCAAGTCCCCAGTGACCTAACTTTTACTAGGCCCCATGTCCCAAAATGCTGGGGAATCAAGCTTTCAGCATGTGGACCTTGGCAAGATATTTCAGATGCAAACCTCTGGCCTCTCCATGCTACAATTCCACCAGTAAACATGATGCTAAACTCAGTTCACTGACACATGCCGTCTACCAAACACACACTATGTCAGGGATAAGAACTTGACCCTTAATCCCAAGGGGCAGAGGTGACATGATTTCCATGAGACACTGGGCCATAGAGGTGAAATGGCTTGTTTGTGTCATGGTACCAGTCAGTGACCGGAAGCAGTTTTATTCTAGCCATAACTGCCTTTTTTAAGATTTATTTATTTATTATGTATTAGACATTCCTTCTATGTATGCTTGCATGCCAGAAGAGGGCACCAGATTTCATTATAGATGGCTGTGAGCCACCATGTGGTTGCTGGGAATTGAACTCAGGTCCTCTAGAAGAGGAGTCAGTGCTCTTAACCTCTGAGCCATCTCTCCAGCCCCCATATCTGCCTTTTAAATTTATTTTTAAAATATTGATTGAGTGCGGAATCCAGGCTCCTGCATGATATTCAAGTGCTCTGCCACAGAGTCACAGTAACCTGAGCCCTGTGACCATTTTATTTTATTATTTACAAAGGTTTTTGTTTTGTTGATTCAGAGTTTCACTGTGTAGCCCTGGCTGTCCTGGGACTCACTGTGTAGGTCAGGCCGACCCTGAACTCTTAGAGGTCTGCCTGCCTCAGTCTCCTGAGTGCTGGAATGTGCCACCATGCCTGGCATTTAAAAAGTACTTTAAAAACATTATTTATTTTCATTTTATGTGTGTGAGTGTTTTGCCAGCATGTATATATGTGTACCATGTGTATGCCTGGTACCGTCAGAGGCCAGAAGAGGGCATCAGAGCCACTGGAACTGGAGTTACAGATGGTTGTGAGCTGCCATGTGGGACTATGACGACTTTAAACTTATCAACACAGCCTACTTGCCCTTTCTCCCCCTCTTCCCCTCCTTTCCTCTCTCAATTCTCTCTCTTGACTTGGTCTCCTGTTGCCCAGGCTGACCCTGACCTTGCTGTGTAGCCAAGGGTGACCTCTGGCCATTACCTCCCAAGTGCTGAGACTGCATGCATACACTACCACTGCTTGCTGTCAACGCAGTCTTCCCAAGACCCCTTCAACTTGTAAAACAAAGTGGCTGTATGAGGAACTGTCTCATTCTTCTGCCTCAGTTCTCAAGGCAGGCTAAGTTCCACTGTCTTAAGAGATAGCAAAAAACAATCGCAGAGCAAAGAACTCCGCCATCTTTCTAGTCACCAGTATTGTCTCTTTCTTCAGCTGCAAGAAAGACTTGGAGTGTATGAAAATGTGCCAACCTGAACCTGTCGTACACCCTCGGGAACCAGGTGAGGCACAATGGCCTGGTGTCCGTGCTCACCGGCTGATTGGCTGACTCCCTTGCCTCCCTCTCCCCTCCCCAGTCTCTGCTGTGCAGAACACTGAGCATTCTCTACTTTGCAGGTACCGCAGTGCTGTTGCCCATGGTCATCCTCCTTGGCCTTTGTCTCTTATTCTTCATCTTCATCAGTTTAATGTGCAGATATCCCGGGTGGAAGCCCCAGGTCTACTCCCACAGTGAGTGCGGCCTGTGGGGAAAGTGGAGCTGGGGAGGGGGTCTGGTGGACAAGGTGGAGGGAGGTGAGGCCCTTTGCTCAGGGCTAACAGTCCTGGTTGGTGGGAGGGAAGCCATACTGTATCAGTAATTCTCTTGTCCCTGGGGCCACATAGACCCTGAGGCATGACACCTCAATTCCCCAAGGCCAGGGTTGGGGGGAGTTTGAAAGGGAAGTGAAATTCATGATGCTTTGTTTTTTTTCTCAGTTTGTGGGAATTCAGCACCTGTCAAAGAGGTGAGAGGAAAAGTACTCCAACTTCCTGACTCTTCCTTCTCAACTCCCTGATACCTGAATTACTTGCACTGGGGGTGGTGGGCTCCCTTAGTTCCTCCATCCCCCACCCCCATAAAGGATAAAGAGTCGGAGAGGGCTCTTTTTTCTTTCCCCACTAATGCAATGCCTTCTCTCTTTCAGGCGGAGGTTGAAAGAAATAAGCCCATAACTCCAGCCCCTGCCCTCGCCTTAAACTCCGCTCCGCACTTCAGCTCTGCCCCAGGCTTCAGTCCTGTCCCCAGTACCCCCAACACCTCCAGCCCCATCTTATACCCCAGTAACTGGCCCAACTTCAAGGTCGTGCCACCTGTAAGGGAGGTGGTCCCAACCCAGCGTGCTGACCCTCTCCTCTACGAATCCCTCACCTCCGTGCCAGTTCCCACTCCTATTCAGAAATGGGAAGACTATCCCCACCCGCAGAGACCCGACCGTGAGTTTGGGTTCCCGGAGGCGGGGACATTACTCCTGGAAGGAGTCGGGCTGGGCGGAGGCCAAGATGGCAGGGCTGCCGCTGGAGGCGCACGACCTTTGTCTCCAGTTGCAGACCCAGCGACGTTGTATACGGTGGTGGACTGCGTGTCTCCGTTTCGCTGGAAGGAATTCATGCGGCTCCTGGGGCTGGGCGAGCACGAGATCCAGCGGCTGGAAATGCAGTACGGGAGCTGCCTGCGCGAGGCTCAGTACAGCATGCTGGAAGCCTGGCGGCAGCGCACACCACGCCACAAGGCCACGCTGGACGTCCTGTACAGCGTGCTTTGCGACATGAACCTCAAAGGTTGCGCGGAGAACATCCGCGAGGCGCTGGGAAGCCCCGCCTCCTAGTCGTCCGCACCCCACCTCCCACGAGGAGGCCACAGCCCCGCTTCAAGGGAGGAACTTAAAGGACAGTCCCGGCAAGGCGCGCTGCTGCCCTGTGGGCCTCCCCCTTGGATGAAAAGGAGGGAGGGGCCTTGAAGGGGCAGGCTCGACCTGGCAACCGCTTCCTCGGTGCTACCTACTTGATGTACATAGCTTTTCTCAGCTACCGAAGATTGTCCCAGAGCCAACCACTTGTTCGGAGCAGCAGTATGTGCCATCTGTCTGCTCCCAGCAGACGGAGCATGCCAAAAGCCAGAACAGGTGATTGTAGAGGAAAGGGACAACGTATCTCATGGCCACTTGAGATGCACAGGGCCCAAGCAAGGCTTCTCAGGGCCTCCCCATTTGGTTCCTGCGCCCTTTTCACAGTAGGTAAGCAATATTTGTATCAATATCACACTAATGGAAACTCGGCTTCCCTTTGCTCCCTGCCTGGACCAACAAGGCTCAACTGCCTAAGGTAGGGGGCGAGCACAGAACAACAGGGTCTCCAGCTGGAGCCGTGGTCTCTTGTAAATACACTAAAAGTCTTTAAAAAAAAAAAACCGATCTCTGACCCTGGAAAGAGTGGTTTGTATATTGGAGAGGCTGGGAAGAGCCCAGCACCTAGGAGTAGCATGGAAAATCCAGCCATCCTGCCAGCTAACCCAGACTGCACATCATGATCCCGTGGGTGCCCATGCTTCCCTCCTCCCCGCCTCCTCCAGTGTTGACCAAACAGCCATGTTTCGGAGCAGTTTTATGTGGTGCTCAGAGATGTGTCTGTGAGACATGAAAGCACAGTTCTTGACCTCCAGAGTGCACAGAGCAGGAGGTGGGTGCCTGTGTCAGGCTTGGTTTGAAGTGGGTTCTTGAGGTAGAGTTCAGGGGTAGGGTGGTGACCAGCACTCTTGGGGAGACAATTCCTCTAAGAGATGTGTCAAAGGACCTCAGCATTCCTCACACTTCGCTGTAAAGGAAGGAGACAATACATTAGGTCAAGGTCAAGCAAAGCGAGTGGGGGTGGGGGACAGTTAAAGCTGAGTGCCCTCCCCTCCCCACTCCGTTTGGTCCCTGTTTCGCTCTGCCTTCCTTAGAACGAAGGGCCCCCCACTTCATACTGTCCTTTTGTTCCATAGTCGTTTCCCTCCGCACTTACGATGTGGACAGTGGGGTGTCCAGCTGTATGATGTGGGTCCCCCTCATTCTCTGCAGCTGGGCTCGAGTCAACTTCCGGGGCTTGCCATCCCCGGGTTCCGAGGCTCCCTCTATCCTTTGGCTGGCCAGTTCCTCCCTTATCTCCCTGAGCATGTCCTCAGCCTGCAGGGGGCGGGGTCGGAGTCCAGGGGATAGAAGTCCCTCTTCTTCATCTGAGGACTCCCAGGGGCTTTCCCCAGCAGAGTCAGTAGGGGTCGGAGATTGGGGGAGCGGGCTCCGCCGTTGCGCCCTGTTTAGAGTTTCTACCACCACATTCCGTGTGGTCAAAGTCTCATCTTCCTCCTCGGACCAGGTTGGGGGTGCCCTCCTGGGCAGACTGCCTCCTCTTAGGATCCCATCTGGCAAGTCTGGGGCACTTCGTCGCTGGGGAGCTTGAGGGTCAGGAGGCTGGGGGCGCAGAGGAACGTCTCGGAGTTCCAGGGTGGAGAAGGTGAGACGAGGGTCCCTACGAAAAGCCTTGGTCCGAAGCCTATTCAGCGGGGTGCGAGGGGTCTTGGGGGAACTTGGAATCAAAGTGCCATAGCCAGAGTCCGAGGTGTCGTCAGGCATGGAAGGAGCATCTTCATCAGTATCTTCAGTCACCACTAGGCGGGGGATGATGCTCAACTCCAAAGTCCTACAGTTAATAGCAGAAAGTCAGACTGAGATAGTGAAGATCAAATACAAGCCCATGAAAGTGTCCCCCGTTACTCTGCTCAGGAATGTCTTCTCCTCTAAACTTACTGTCCTGTCTCTTCACACGACACAGTGTTTTTGCCGCCTCACTGGCTAGAATTGTGCTTTATAAAAGACCTTGGGCACTCACTTCTTTTATGCAACACATATTCTAAAATTGAAATGACACGAGGAGGGGGCTGGAGAGATGGCTCAGCGGTTAAGAGCATTGCCTGCTCTTCCAAAGGTCCTGAGTTCAATTCCCAGCAACCACATGGTGGCTCACAACCATCTGTAATAAGGTCTGGTGCCCTCTTCTGGCCTGCAGGAATACATGCAGACAGAATATTGTATACATAATAAATAAATAAATAAAAAAAAAAGAATGACACGAGGAGAAGATTATGGTCCCTGTGCAAGGTTCTTGTAATTTATGAAGCTTTCTGTTGTTAAAAAAAAAGATAAGACCTTGAACTAAGCTGGGTGTGGTCCTTAAAAACAAACAAACAGGGGCTAGAGAGGTGGCTCAGTGGTTAAGAGCACTGACTGCTCTTCCAGAGGACCTGATTCAATTCTCAGCACCCACGTGGCAGCTCACAACTGTCTGAAGATCCAGTTGCAGGGGATCTGACACCTTCACACCAATGCACATAAAATAAAGTTAAACAAACCATAAAACATATTTTAAAACATCAAACAAACAGACACAAAGAGTTTGGGTTGCCTCTGAGCTATTATTCTATCCATAGCACCTAGTTCAGAACTCATGCAAGCAGCTTGTCTCATAGCAGCTTGTCTCATATTTGCTGACTGGATCCTCTGTAAGTTGCTAAACAGCTGTACCATCCTGGGTGAACCTCTTACACTGGGGATTTGAACTTGCTGTGTCTTGGAAGCGCTGATATTCTGAGAATCCACATCTACCTTCACTCTACAGCCTGATTCTCACAAGGAGCTCACACGCCACGGTTCTGCTTCCTTTGCCCTGTGCCCACCTTGTCCCACGCATTTCTTCACATAGTGGCTACCAACCTGGTCCACTCCCAGCGGCTGCTCCTGTTCCTGCAGCCACACCAAGTTCTCCAGGGCTGCACTGGTTCTCCTCCCTCCTCCCCACCTGAGGCCCCCTCCTTGGAGGGCGCACTTGGGTCTTACCTCCCCTCTGCGCTGCTCTGGGAGTCCTCTGGGGAGGGAGTGGAGGGCCTGGTGTTGGGGGACTCCTTGCCCTGGTTGCGATAGAGGGCCAGGAGCTCTCTCTTCTGTTGAACGTACTCCTCAGCCTTCAGCCTCTGCAGAGTGGCCTGGGGAGGGACTTCCGTTATTATGAGCTCATTTACTACACACTTGCAGTATTCTGGATGCTCTACTAATGGCTTTACCATGGTGCCTTTGCCCCCTCCGAACACCGCTCTGAGGGACAGGTGTTTACACTTCCTTTCCTACTGAGAAAGGTTAACCAGAAGGCTAGAGACCCCCTTAGGAGTCATTCTTACAGGAAGGGAGCACAGTGTGGCCAAGATGTGGTGGCACCAGGCTGCAGAGCTGGTGCTAGCGGCAACTGGGGTGACAGAAAGTCCCCTCTCCTCCTCTATCATGTGCCTGCTTTTCATGCCTCCAGGGATACCCTTGGAAACTCCTTGACTGAGATGAGGTGCTGCCAGGACTCTGAACCATATTGGTCCTCAGGTTGCTCTTTTGAGAGCAACCTGAGGCATCTCATCACCTTGGCATCCATCCTGAAGGTGAGAGGAGCAGGGGCATGCTGGTCCTACACTGAGGACCCTTCTGTCCCTTAGACGGTACGAAAGCAAAGCTGTCCCAATATGGAAGAGAAGATGGCACATGTCTGTGTTCCTTATTGGGACTTTTCTTTTCTTATGGTTTTTCAAGACAAGGTTTTTCTGTAGCTTTGGAGCCTGTCCTGGAACTAGCTCTTGTAGACCAGGCTGGCCTCGAACTCAGATCCGCCTGCCTCTGCCTCCCGAGTGCTAGGATTAAAGGCGTGCACCACCACTGCTTGGCTCTTGAGAGTTTTCATACAGAATAAAGCAGTGACAGCCGAGAGGTGGCTTCCAGTGCAGCTCCATAGGCACGGGCTGCTTTGTCGCACACCATCACCCTACGGTGAGGAAAGCATGGCTGTGAGCTCATCTCACAGCCAAAAAGACCAGACTCAGGAGCCGCTACTGGCCAAGGAGGCCACGAAGAGGAGAGCTGGGTGAGGATGCTTCTTAAGTCCTAGTTCAGTGACTGCAGGCTTTGGAAAGGCAGCCTTGAGAGGCCGAGAGTTACCACAGGAGGACGGTGTTGGGGGAGACAGCAGAGCCTGAGAATGCACAGGGTAGGGGTAGGAGGAGGTTTAGCATGAGGGTCGGGGGGGGGGGGTGCCAGGGGCAGAATGAGCGTCAGTATTCACAGGAGTGGCTAATAAGGTACGCACAGTGCTTCCTAGCTGGCAAAGAAATGGGCATAGGCTGGGCCTGATCCCAGCATTTGGATCATGGTGGAGTCACATGAGGCAGGTGGATCTCTGAGTTTGAGGCCAGCCTAGTCTACATAGAGAGTTCCAGGCCAGCCAGAATTGTACGGTGAGAACTCATCTCAGAAAGCAAGCAAACAAGAAAGAAAGCAAGCAGGAAGGAAAGAAGGAAGGAAGGGTTGTAGCTGGAGGCTGGAGTATTCTATCCCCCTCCCAGGTATCCCCACCACAGCTACTGCCAAGGGGCTGCATCTGATATGGAGTAGGGACCTCAAGTGTCCCCCCCCCCCACCCAACCCTATACAAGGTTCTGTTCTGACTGATGCTAGGCTGGCCTGGTGGCTACCGATTTGTCCTTTCTCGTCAGCTAGGGGAATGTGAGCCAGCAGCCCTGGGGCCCCTAGGCTTCTCCAAAGCTTCTGTAGGAACATGGGAGGGGCCGGTCAGGACGAGACATGTTGGAGGAGGGGTGAGCAGGCATAAGAAAAATGATATCAAGTGGGCAGTTTTAACTCTCCTTCCTCTGGCTTCCCAGCCACTGAACCAGAAGAGAGGGAAGCCCCCGGAGGCGGGGGTGGGCAGGAAGCTCACACACCAGGTCTGTTCCCATGCCCCTCTTCCCCAGGCTTCATCTCTCAGCTCAGCATGAAGTGGGAAAGGTATAAGGAAAGGAATGGAAATGGGGCCCGCACAGCCCCTTGTTTCACAGGCCCCAAGTTTGAGTTTGGGATGGGATGGGATGGGATGGGATGTCCAGGATAGGGCTGTAGTGTGGAGGGAAAGAATGGAAAGAAAAGGGGAAGTCTTTAAGAAACACCTGGAGCCAGCATCCCCACTAGGCCTGCCCCTGTCCCTCCCCAGGAAGAGCAGGAGTGGGGGATCCTAGGCAGCCAGCACCGGGCTTCCAGCTGCCTCAAAGCCTCAGCAGCGGGCATCTTCTTGGCCAGAGGTGAGCAGTACAAGAGAGAAAGCTAGATAAAATGTGGGGCCCACGAAGCTGAAGAAAGAGGGGGGCTCCTAAGCAAGATTCCTGTGGAGAATCCACGAGACAGAATGCTTCATCTCTCTGCAGTTCCACAATTACCCACTCTCCCAGTGCCTCTTGCCTCTCTCAGCCATCACAAGGGTGCCTTCTTCCAGCTCCGCACCTCCTGCCACGCCTCTCTCTCTCCTCTCTTCACCTTCCTTCCTCCTCTGCCTTTCTCTTTTTAGTTTTGTGAAATTAAGTCTTTCTGTGCAGCTCATACTCAGAACTTGATGAATAGCCCAGGTTAGTTGTGAGCTCGTGATCCTCCTGTGCCAGCGCTCTGGGAGCTGGGATGATAGGAGTGCTCAGCCAGCCGCTCAGCCCTTTCTTG